AGTTATTATCATATTATGTATTTTGATAATACATTATTATATATTATCACAATATATCATTACAACCAGTTGCCCCAACTGCAGTCTGGGAGCGTAGACTATTTGTCATTCTAAGCTTGGAACTTCCTCCGTCTTCCACCCCTTGCAACCATGTCCTCTGGAAGTGTTCGCATTGGGAAACTGATCCCTATCTTCCATGCCACTGTTGTGGTTGATGGGGCTTTCGTGGGGGTAGGGTTAGAAAGAAAACAGTAAGTATTTAAGTGCATGTATGTGTCACTGTGCTAAGTGCTTTACAGATATTTTCTCATTTGAGACTCACAACTATTCTAGGAGGTGCTATTATTATCCCCATTTTACAGTCGAGGAAACTGAGGCAGACAAGTGACTTGCCTATGGTCACATAGCTGGTGACTGATCCTAGATTTGAACTCATCTTCCTTACTCCAGGTCCAGTGGTCTGTCCACTGTACCATCTACGTATAGACTATAAAGGGAAATACCTGGAAGTATCTATACCCTTGATTTCACCTTTGTATGCCTACAGAGAGCATTGCATTCAGTGACCAGGTTTCTTAATTTTGGCCAACTGAGCTACAAAGTCCTTAGTGTGTGTAGATTCCCTGTTTACTCACTTGGCCTGAATTTCAAGGACAGCCTTGAAAAGAGTGTCCTGGGCCATTTGAAAATCTCTTGTTGGCAGATCTGACTAGAAGCCTAGCTTGAGATCAGATGGTTGGTTGTTGTCCTTCGTTCTTGAAGAGGACCAAAATGACATCAGTAAGTTAGAGTCAAGTTACAGTGTGTCCAACTGTGGCTCATCAAACCAATATAAATTCAGAATGCTTTACCACAGGTAGGACATAAATAATTTATGTGGACATTTGGGGTGGATTCTCTAAACATGTGCATTTCACATTTGTTTTGAGCTATTTCAGTTCTGTTTTGTTCATAGAGCACAGCACTTTCTTTGATGAGGGCACGCCATGCCAGGTGGTCTTGTGCCAGTGTCTCCCATGCCATGCAATCAGTTGTGAGATTATGAGTTACTGAAGGAGGATAACAGTATTCCCTACAGGGCCTGTTCATCACTGATGCCAAGGACCTCTTCCGTATAAATCACTGTCAATGACTTATCTGTGGGATGCTCAGTGAATGATAGTTTGCAGCTAGTGCAAGCATTCCATTCCACAGATAAGCATGACATGGTATGCCCTGCAAGCCTGAGCAAGAGATACTAATAAGCCTGATGTGGATGACAATAATACTTTATTATTAAACAGAAAGTTTGCGAGTCCCTAGGGAAGAAGGGTAGGGAATCACTAGGATCTGTTGTAGAGGTTCAAGTAGGCTTCATTTTATTCCTTTCCATTTACTCAAGCAATCTGGCATTTAAAGATTAGAAAGTCAAAGGAATGCTAAAAATATTGTCATATTTTAGGGGCAGCTAGGTGGCGCAGTAGATAGAGCACCAGCCCTGAAGTCAGGAGGACCTGAGTTCAAATGCGACCTCAGACCAAACACTTGACACTAGCTGTGTGACCCTGGGCAAGTCACTTAACCCCAATTGCCTAAAAACTTAAAAAAAATACATTGTCATATTTTTAGTAATTATTTGACAAGTTGTCTCCTGACAATAACATTGTGAAGACAAACAACTTTGAAAGCCTTAAAAATTCTGATCAGTGCAATGGCCAACCTTGATTCCATAGGACCAATGATGAAACATCACTTGCTGGACTCAAGATGCAGAATAAGACATTTGGAGGATTTTTTTCTTAATTATGCATAGTCAATAAAGGGGTTTTATTTTTCTCTTTCTTCAATGGGAGAAGGGGGAGGTAGAAGGGGGAATGGGCCTAAGGATATTTTGGCAAAAAAGAAAAGAGAGTTGTTGAAGTATTTTAAAAATGTACAGGAGAGACCAGAAGTAATCACAGACAAGCTGGACATCTTTGAAAGTCACATGTGTTAAATGTATTTCATATTTTTAAATAAAAGCAAGTTGTACATACAGTTTTTTTGTATTATCCTGTTTTTCTGTTCTACATATATAGAAATGCTGTTTTTATTTGGTTTTTGTAAGACTTTGAATTTTTTTTTAAATTTAAAATTTGTCTCCTGATTTCCACGTGAATGAGATGGAAAAATATAGTCTAGATGGTAGTTGACTTAGGTAGATTGGTACCTGACTGAACATACACAAAGTCTGTCGATTAATGCATTTATTTCACCTTGGCTTTTTATAGATTACTTTTATGAAAACATAAAAGACTTGTTATCATTTGTGTACATGGCAGACCCAAGGCAAAGAGACAGTAAATATGTTAGCTAACAAGATAAAAACAATGGGCCAAAACTGAGAGTGAAATTCCATAGAGATAAACTTACATTTTAGAAAATCAGGTATACTGGCACAGGGAAACTCACCTTCGCTCAAAAAGCAAAGTTGACCTACAAAAAGACCTAGAGTGGGACAGTGGTGAGGGATGGGGGCATCAGCTGACTGACTGCCCACCCATACAACATAAGCCATTGCACAGTGCAGCTGGGAAAAAAAAAAGCAAACCTAATGGAATCTCAGGCTACAATAATAGGTAAAGTAGTACATGAATGAGTAAAGTAGTAGTCCCACTATACTTTTCAGTGTCCATACATAAAAAGTATCTGGAATGTCACGTTCAATCTCATATTTTATGAGAGATGTTGGCAAATTTATAGGAGGATAATCAGGATAAGGAAGTAGATAGCAACTGTCATATGAATTATTGTTGAAGGAACTAGGGAATATTTAGCCTAGAAAATAAAAAGATTTATAGGGAATTGTGTAGTTGTTTTTAAATATTTAAAGAAGTTTCATGTGGAGTAAGGATTAATTGTGTTGTATGTAGCTCCAGAGGGCAGAATTCACATCAATTGGTGAAAACTGGAAAGAAGAAAAGTTCAAAAATAACCATTAGAGTTTTCCTTCAGTGGCAGAGAAGATAGAAAGCTGGTCCTCAAAGTCAAAAGCACCAGGGATTAAGTTCCATCTCTGATATAGTGGCTGTGATTCTCTGGGTAAAAACTACAAATTTCAGAGAAGGCTGCTTGTCCTCTGTCATTGGAAATGTTCAAATCGAGCTTGTAGATCCTGCATCGAGGTTGAATTGTTGGGATTTGGGGATACCTAAGCACCCTTTCAGCATTGAGATTTGTATATATACCCTTCACGAGTCAGAACCCTGTAGAACTGTTGAAATGTGAAGTTCTCTCTGATAGTAGGAATCTTTGATCTTTCCTATAACATGGTCGATGTTTTAGGAGAATGGTGTCCCAACTTTAAATCTTTGTCTTTAGTCTAGGTTAAAACAGACAGAACTATTTTTAGCATGTTGCCAGCTCCTTTATTAAACTTGAACCTTCTTGGTTTGTCTGTCACTTAGCTCCTGTAATTTTGCTGCTTTGACATTTTAAATGTGCAGTTCATAACCCTTGAACCTTTTAAGTCAAGGTATTATATTTTATAAAGACATTGCGTTCTAAAAAGATGTGCTCTTTTAAAGCTTTCTACTAATAACATGAAAGGCAGCATGACACGGTGGATAAAGAGCCCGTCATGGAGTTGAGCTGACACAGAGCAGCTGGGTGTGACCCTTAGCAAGTCACATAACTTCCCAGTGTTCTGTGCAGCTCCCAGAAACTGTAAGTCGCAGAGAAAGTACCAACCTGTACTAGTAGGAGTTGCCTTATTTGAGTGTTCCCTATTGCACAAATTAAAAAAAAAATTAACATAGTTAACATTTACATGGTGCTTACTATGTGCCAAGTGCTATGTTAAACTCTTTACAATTCTCTTATTGGGTCCTCATGACAAACCTAAGTTAGGTGCTATTATCCCCATTTTACAGATGAAGAGACTGAGTTCTTATCCCTACTAATAATGTATTTTTAAAAGTTTAAATGCAAATGCAACGTAATTATGGTACTAAATCACCACATTTTTCCATAAAATTATTTCAAATAATTTTTCAATTAGAAAATAAGATGATTTTCACACATTTGAACCACAAGTTATATCTGATTGTTTAGATTATTTAGTGACAAGAGTTACCATTTTAAAGAAGCAAATTAGTAATTAGTTAAGATTGGAGGGACAACAAAAATTCAACAAATATTTATACAGTACATACATGTGCTAAGAATTATCCTAGGAACAGGGAAAATAGTTTTTGGAAATAATTTACTTTTAAAAATTGTCTTATTCAAGGGGCAGCTATGTAGTGCAGTGGATAGAGCACCAGCCCTGGAGTCAGGAGCACCTTAGTTCAAATCCGGCTTCAGACATATGATACTCAGTAGCTGTGTGACCCTGGACAAGTCACTTAACCCCAATTGCCTTGAAAAAACAAAAAGAAAATTGTCTTATTCAGCTTTATAATATCATAAATTTTATTTTAGATAATCTGACTAGTGTACTAATGATAGAAAAAGAAATATAGGAATGTTGATAGTTGGTGGTATTAAAATAAAGCATCTTTCAGAAAAACCTGGGAAGACTTACATGAATTGATACAAAGTGAAGTAAGCAGAACCAGGAGAACATTGTACACCATAATACCAATACTGTACAATGATCAACTCTGAGTGACTTAGGATCCAAGACAATTCAGATGGACTTATGTTGAAAAATGCTGTCCATCTCCAGATGAAGAATTAATGAAGATCATAGTATACTTTTTTAAATTTTATTTTTCTTGTGTTTTTTTGGGGGGGGAAGAAGGGTTTTGTGTTTTCTTTCACAACATGGCTAATATGGAAATACATTTTACATGACTGCACATGTATAAGCCTATATAAAATTGCTTGCCTTCTCAATGAGGAGAGAGGAGAGTGAGCAAGAGAAATTAAAACTCAAAAATCATTTTTTAAATGTTAAAAATTATTTTTATATGTAATTAGAAAAAACAAAATATTAAAAAAAGAACAAAGCATCATAACAAAGCTAATTTTGTTTCTAGTCCAGATGTCAGAGCATTTCTTCAAATGGACAGTCCACGACATCAGTCAGATCCTTCTGAAGATGAGGATGAAAGAAGTATTCAGAAGGTAATAAAATGGGTTAATATTTGTTAAAGCTGCCATGTATTCATCCCTGAAATAGGCCCAGCATATGCCTGTGCTTCTTAATTAACTGTAAAAATCAAGATCTACCTTGAGCAGCCTCCCCTCCCCTTTGCCTTAGAAACTCTCATCATCTCCACACATCTCCTCCTTTGTTTCTGTATTCTATTTCCTCTGTTATCTTGCCCCATTGAACATTCTTCTTTGTTCCCAACCCCGATCTTTGATGACTCTTTATTCACTGGCTTCTTCTCTACCACCTACAGACGTGCCCAGGTCACCGTAGTTCTTTCGGACAAACAAACCTGTTACTGGGCATGACCTGGATCCCTTCGTTGAGATATCTAATGGCCTCTTCTCATTTCTCATCAGTTTTAATCTCTCTGGTGTTTGACACTGTTGACTACCCTCTCCCCTGGATACTGTCTCTTGGGGTTTATCTTTCTGTTCTCCTACATGTCCCTCAGTCTCTTTTACTGGATATGAAGGGCATACCGTATTTCTTTATCTTGGACCTTTCTTTCTCTCCAGTCTCCAGTCTTGGTCGTTTTAAGATCTTTTTTTTTTCCTTTTTTTTTAGCTAGGCAATGGGGTTAAGTGACTTGCCCAGGGTCACACAGCTGGTAAGTGTTATACATCTGAGCCCAGATTTGAACTCAGGTCCTCCTGAATCCAGGGCCAGTGCTCTATCCATTGCACCACCTAGCTGCCCCCAAACTCAACACATTCAGAACAAAATGTTCTTTTTCATATGGGTATTCCCCAAGGTCCTTTCCCATTTCTCTTCTCTTTTCCCAGTACTCTCTGTTAGCAACCTTATCAGTTCCCCTGAGTTTAACTATAATCTTATGCAGATGACTCCCAACCCCACCCAGCCTCTCCCCTGAGCTTCATCTTCCCATTGGACATCCTAGAGACATCTTGAACTCAACCTTCCCCAAAACTGAACTCCTTATCCAAACTAGGCTTCTCTCTCTTCCTCACACATGACACCCTGCTCCCTTTTTGTAGCTCTGTGCTGGCCTTTTCACATGTCTGGTAGGCACTCCTTCCTTACCCTTGCTTCAGAGTCCCCCTCTTCCCTTAAAATATGAGTCAAGCACCATCTTCTGCAAGAAGCCTTTCTCAGGTTCCTTAGCCTTGGAGCTTTCCCCTCTCTAACTTTGATTAGCTCCACTTTGTTGTATTAATCTTATCACATGGTGTCCTCTCCCTTTAGATTACAATAAGTTCTTTGAGGCTGGAATTGGTTTTTTTCCCTTTCTTTGTATCCCTAGCACTTAGCTTAGTTCCTCGTATGTGATAAATAGGTGCTTAATAAATGCTTGTTGCCTTAATTATTCCAGCTTCCTTTCTCTTACTACCAGCCTGCTGGAATGAGTGTTCTCTACTTCCTTTTTCCATCTCCTTTTTGCTCAGCCACTTGCAATATGTCTTAAAAGCCCTGCTGCTCTATTGAAGCTGCTCTCTGACCAGTTAGTAGTGATCGCTTAACTGTTGAATCCGGTAAATCCAGGCCTTAACTCCCCTGATCTCTCTGATGCTCTTGACACCATTAGTCATGTGCATTTCTCTTGGGAATTCTTGTTTCTCAGGTTTCTCTGGTGCCATTCTCTCTTGACTTTTTCTTAACCTAACTGCTCTTTCACATCAGTATTATGCACTTCCTTTTCATTTGGTGTGAGTATCCCTCAGGAATCTGTGATGGGCCCTCTTTTCTTCTCTATACCCTTACCCTTGGAGATTTATTAGCTCCCATAGATTTAATTATCATTTACACACCAATGACTACCGTAGATAGTCTGGCCTTAATCTTACTGAACTGCGGTCCCACATGTTAGCTACTTAAAGTCATCAAGTTTTAAAAAAACTGATTCCCCCCTAAAACTGCTGCTTCAAAGTTCCCTATTTCTATTGAGGGGACTCTCATTTAGTCATTCAGGTTGTGGCCTCTTAGAAGTCATCCCTTCTCCTTCACCCCCCTCACACTGAATCATTTGCCCCATCTTACTGATTCTACCTCTGTAACATCTTTCCCATCATTCTCCATTCCTCTGTTTTCACAACCACCCCCTCCCCAATCCAGGCCCTTGTCACCTCTTATTGACTAGTAAAAGCTTTTCCTAATTAGTCTTCCTCTTTTTCCTTTTTTCCCCCCTCTCCAATATAACTGCCAAAATAATTTTCCTAAGGCACAAATCTGATCATGTACTTCCCTACTCAAGAGTTTTCAGTGGCTCACTATGACCTACCTCAGGGTTAAAATACAAATCTCCCAGCTTAGCTTTTAAAACCCTCCATGATATGGTTCTGTTTTTCCAGTTTTAACTTCTGTCACTTGCCTTCATTCATCTTATGAATCAACCAAAATAGACTACTAAATATTTTCCAGACTCCACTTTCTATCTTCTGCCTTAATGCATTGACATTATATGTTCCTTATGCCTTGAATGTGATCCTTCCCTAATTTCTACTTCTCAAGAGCTAAATTTATATGAGACTTCTTCATTGAAGCCTTCCCTTATTCCGAGGTTGTTAATGATACTTCCCTCTTCAAATTATCTGGTATTTATATATATTATTATGTCTGTGTTATTGTTATGTGTATATTATGTATTGGAGGCAGCTAGGTGGTGCTGTGAATAGAGTGCTGGGCTGGAGTCAGGAAGACCTGAGTTTAAGTCTGCCCTCAAACACTTACTGGCTATGTGATCCTAGGCAAGTCACTTGCCCATTTGTAATAGCTCTGTTTCCTTATCTGTAAAATGAGCTGGAGTAGGAAATGGCAAACTATTCCAGTATCTTTGCCAAATGAGGTCGTGAATATTTGATCATGAATGAACAACAACATATTATTTATACATATGCCTTGCTTTTATATTAGATGTAATGTATATATTGTGTTAACATGTAAATATTTCTGTATGTGTATGTGTTATTCTACTCCATCCCTCCCTCCACCATCCTTCCCATGCATTTGTTGAATTGAATTAATGGGAAGATACCATGGCAAAAATTTAAATTAATGCCAGCTTTAAGGGAATAGTAACTTAAAATGAAATACAGTCAAACCTTAGTCCATGAGTAAATTTCCTACTTTATGGATTATATGGGGGAAATGTTAAAGTTTTTGTTGATAACTCTTGCTCATCTCAATCGCCAACCCATGCTAAACTTTGAAATGTTATTTTGAACTATGACCACAGCCCAGCTACCAGGAAAAGCCCTTTAAATAAAAATACTTCATTATTTCTTCCTCTTCCTTATCAAGTAAGATGCAAATGACAGAGGTGGTGGAGAACCTCTGGTTTAGAAGTAACACATGACTTTCTTATTCAGCCTTATATCTTTGCTATTGAATAAATTGTGCTAATATGTCACAAAGATGCCTGCTACTATGGTAATATTAATCTTCCAGGCAAATATAAATTATGTTATTTTACATGAATAAGCCTGTAGCAAGTTAAGTGAATAAGCTTATTTAAAATGTTACTTCTACAAGTATCAGTAAATAGCAAGAAGAATACTATTTAGATATATGCTTTACTAGTTTATTGATTTGGTATTGTTTGGTGCTGGGGCAACTTATTTATTTAGTTTTTATAAAGCTCTGATGTGAGAGTCCATGTGGCATAGTGGATAGACCATCAGACCCAGATTTGAAAAGAACTGGACTCAAGTTCTTCCTATGACTTCTGTGCTGAATGACTGTGGGCAAATCATCTGATCTCCCAGGCCGTGATAGAGGATTTACTTATCTCGAAGAGTTCACACAATCCCAGGTCTAGTCTCTTCTCCTGACCTCCCCACCAAAAAAAAAATCCAGCCCTTCCTCAGGATGGGGAACAGGGAAAGTGGTGATCACAGCACACAGAGATGGCTTGTAGTGATAAGTCACCTGGATGTCCCATGTGGTCATAGGGTGAAGTAGAACACAGAGTCTTTAGAATCCTGGCTGCTCCCAACCCAGTTTTGCCACTAACTTATAATCATGAGAAAATTGCCTAGTCTCTTAACAAGGGAAGCCTGTTCCTTCAATTATAAAATCATTTTTCCCTAAAATTCTGTAATTCTATACTCATTTTAAAGTTTTCATATATTCTAAATAAGAATTACCTTATTAAATGAAGTTATGCAATTTTTCTGTAAAGAACTTCATTGATATCTTGTTTTTACATGTTTATTTCTACACATATTACTCCTACCCAACAAATTATTCCTTGTAATAAGGATTATAAAAGAAAGAGCTATCTAACACATCAGCCACGTCTGATGTGTCTGAACATACAAATATATGTGTAAATAAAATAATTCCCGTCCATAGTTTCCCACAGCTCAGCTCTTCTGTGAAGCCAAGTGTGGTTGTTATAATTACAAACTCTACTGATTCTTACAGTAACACTGGAAGAAACTTTAGCGGTCAGCTAGCCAAATCCATCTTTTTTTTTTAAACAGGTAAGAAATCTTTAACCAGAGAGGTTTAGTGACACAATGTCATGTTATTCATTCTTTTAATAAGTTACAGCTTGACCTAACTTTATTAATTAGACACATTCCTGAAAAGTTACAATAGCTTACTCTATATAGCTCTTTATGGCTACACAGGGCTTTCACAGGTATTTATTAGGTCCTCACAATGTCCCTTGAGGTGGGTAGTATAAGTATTATCATCTCTATTTTACAGGTGAAGAAATTAAGACTCAAGAGAAATTGTGACTTGCCCAAGGTCAGTTGACATAGCCAAGTTCAGATAGTATAGCCACACTGAAATTTTCAGACTTCCAACTCCAGTGTTCTTTCTAGTACACCAGGAGTATAGGCAAAAGATGATATATCTGATTTTATTTTCTAATTGGTTTCCATTGTAACTCTTAACAATTACAGAGATGTCTTCCTTTGGAACAAAATTCACAAATAGCAATAATAATAAATTACACTTAATCCTAAATTATAAAGATATGTTGCCTTAGTTGTTGTAATAGAATGTAAAACTCCTTGAGGGCAGGGAGTATTTAATTTTTTTTCCTGTGTCCTTAGCACATAGTAGGTGCTTAATATGTTGAATGAATAAATTATCTTCCATATACATAGCTTACATGCTGTAACACCTTCAGAGGAAGCTGTCTCTGATTCCAGCCACCACCATCCCAACTGTTAGTGCCCTGCTTTCCAAAATACTTTGTATTTATCTCCTTATGTAGATTATGTATATGTTTACATATGTACTCTACTTCTTCAGAACTCTTTGTGCATAGGCACTGTTTAATTCATTGTATTTGTATATTCAGTATCCAGCATGCTGTGACTGCCAAATACTAGACACTTCACTTTTGTTGACTGCTTCATAGTCTAGGTACACTTAATTCTCCTACATAGTCCACTGGAGAAAAGTTAGATAAAGGAACAGTTAAGTTATTGTATCTCTCCTTTATCATTAAAACCACAATTATATGGAAATTGAGGGAATTCCCATCAATTGGGGAATAACTAAGTAAGTTGTGGTCTATCAATGTAATGGAATAGTATTTTGTTATAAGAAATGAAGAGCAGGTGGATTTCAGAAAAACCTGGAAAGACTTACATGGACTAATACAAAGGGAAATGAGCAGAACCAGGAGAACATTGTACACAGTATCAACAACATTGTGCAATGGTCAACTATGATTGACTTAGCAATTCTCAGCAATACAGTGATACAAGACAAGTCCAAAAGACTCATGATGGAAAATGCTATCCACATCCAGAGAAGGAACTGATGGAGTCTGAATACAGATTGGAGCATACTATTTTCATGTTTTTTTCCCTTTTGTTATGTTTCTTCTTTCATAACATGACTAATATGGATGTGTTTTATATGATTGCACATATATAACCTATATCAAATTGTTTACTGTCTTGGGGGCAGGTAGTGCAGAAGGAGGAAAATTTGGAACTCAAAATTTTATATAAAAAAGTGAATCTTAAAAACTGTCTTGGGGTGGCTAGGTGGCGCAGAAGTCAGGAGGACCTGAAGTCAGGAGGATGTGAGTTCAAATCCAGCCTCAGACCAAATACTTGACACTTACTAGCTGTGTGACCTTGTGCAAGTCACTTAACCCCAAATGCCTAAAAAGTTAAAAAAAAAAACAAACTTGTCTTTACATTTACTGGGAAAAATAAAAGACTATTTAGAATAAAAAAAAATAAAAACACACATAAAATGTACAGTATATAGTTAATGTTCATGGCTCAATTTCTCTAACTTCTTGGTTTATAAAATAGGTTTTCTTATCTCCATTTCATGGATGAGTAAAGTGACTTGCCCAAGGTCTATGAGAACTGAGACTCAGACATGATTTTCATGAATCCAGTGTGTATTCCACCACATCTCAGACTCTGGGGCTTGCATGTTTAAGCATAAAAGGCTATATACCATTTCTCCGGGTATTCCATAGAATCATAATATTATAGTGTTAATCACATTCAACAAACATGTATTTTAATCTATTATATGAATAGTGCTGGACCGTGAGATACCAAGATGAAGATGAATACATTTGTCCAATTATTTTTTTACCTGGAATTTTGTTGCCTCACAACAAAATTGTGATGTATCACAAAACTGTATTTTACCACAACAAATTCTGGGGATTTGGAATTTAAAGATATTTATTGGAATGAAAAATGAACTATATTAGAACTTGTTCTTTCTTCAAAGGGATTTATTTAACTGTGGGTAAAAAAGGGCACTTCTGTCTTTTTTCTTAAAAAATTACAATCCTATAGTTTTCATTAGAATTTGAACACATTAATACATTACTCAAATACCTACTAAGTGATTGTTTGGCTAAACATTTCTAGGAGCTAACAATTAATGGAGATGGGAGTCTTTGAAGTTCGCTTTGCTTCCTTAGGCTTTAATTTTTTTTTCCCTTGTCTCTAGCATAATAAACACATTTGAAGAATCTAGATACACCAACTGAATTATTGTTTTTATCTATTTAATGTGTAAAGAATTAGTGAAGTGAGTGTAATTGAAGCAGGATTGACCTTTTCTGGCTTCTTTTAAGAGTTGCTTTTCCCAAGGTCTCGTTTTGGCCATGTGGTAGTTTGCTAGATAGTATTTGGTGAACCAGAATTGCCAATTTCATAAACAAATCTGTACAATGTTAGTGAATCTTTTCAAAGATGTGTGATCTGAAAAAACATCTTCAGTTATTACCAGGTATTTAGTTTACTCCATGAATTTGTACCTCTGCCTCTCACAGAGAGAGTATCACTCACTGACCTTTAAGTTGGTAATAAAGCCTTGAGATTTTTCTGACTTGCTAAGTCTTAGTAATGCCAGATGTATATCCCCCCTAAAAAGCACTTAAAATGTATTCTATAAATAACTGTTTATTGACTTCAGTCTTACTAATTGAAAATGTTATTGTTCCTTCCCCCAAACAGCTACACTCTACCTCACAGAACATCAACCTGGGACCATCTGGAAATCCTCAGTAGGTTTAATTTTTTTTCAAACTATCCTTTTATTGTTAATTGTGGGGGGAAACATTTTAATATAAAAATATTATTTTTAAAACTAGTAGTTTAGCTGGGAGCCTCAGAAGTAATACTTGAGTAAGAGTGAATACTTAGACATACATTGTTTTTGTACTCCATAAATTATTTAGTATGTCATGCCAAGTTTTAATCCTTGTAGCAATGTTATAGCCTGAACAAATTGGAGTTAAACAGAATGTGATTGGCAACATTCTTGTTTCCCTATTTGAAATGGGGATAAAATAGCTTAGACTATAATTATATATGCAGGCTTAATAAAAAATGCTTTTTGTCCTGGGAGACAGTCCTCCCTTTTTATCAGAAAAAGTAACAGGTTTATGCTAAAATAATTGGCTGTTTATTTTGGAAGTATTTGTTTTAAAGAAAAAAGATATTTTAATTTCTTTTACTTATTTATTTTTATTGTTGACTTTTTTTACATTTAGAAGAAAGGGAATAAGCCCTTACTATGTGTCAGGCAGTGTACTAAGCAGTTTACACATATCTCATTTGATCCTCAGAACAACCTTGGGAGACAGGTGCTGTTATTCCCATTTTACAGTGAGGAAATAGAGACAGACAGCTTAAGTGACTGGCCTCAGTTCATACAGCTAGTAAGTGTCTGAGGTCATATTTGACCTCAGTCTTCCTAATTCCAGGCCCAGCGCTCTATGGACTGTGGCGCCACCTCGCTACCATGACAATGCATTTATTTCTGATTATATCCCTCCTCCCTTTCCTAGTGAGATGTCTTTTGTAACAAAAATTTCAAAAGAAAGATGGGAAAAAAGCAGACCAGCAAAACCAACCAGCACATCAACCATGTCTAACAATGTATCCAGTATCCATCCCCTATCTCTGCAGTGAAGGGAAAGAGATGCATTTTCTCAGTTCTCACCTGGGGCAAAAAAGCTTAATCCTTGTAATTATATAGTGATAAGTTTTGTTTTATTGTTCTTTCAATTTACGTTGTGTTATAGTCATTGTGTACCTTTTCGTGATTCTGCTTCCTTCATTCTTGTTCAGTTCATATAAGTATTCCATTTTAATTCTCATTCTTATTTTTTATAGTACAGCTCATTAATAGTCTATTCTGTACCACTATCAGTGAGCACCTACATGGTGTCAGATTTTTTTGCTACCACAAAGTGTGCTGCCATGAAGATTTTGACCTCCTTGAAGTGTATGCCTAGTATTGGAACCCCAGGGTCAAAGAGTATGGACATCTTAGCTGTTTTTTAGCATAGATTCCAAATTGTTTCTTGAATGGATGGATTAATGTACAGCTTCACCAGCAGTATATGAAAAGATGCTTGATAATGAATTCCAGCATTGTAGTGGTAGGCCTCTCGAATCTTTCCTATGTTACCCATAATTCTGTCATAATAGAAAAAACAAAATAACAAAAAAAGAGAGCAAACAGTTTGCTTCGATCTGTACTCAGACTCCATAGTTCTTTCTCTGGAAATGGACAGCATTTTTCATTATGAGTCTTTTGGAGTTGTCTTGGATCCTTGTATTGCTGAGAAGAGCCAAGTCTGTGAAAGTTAATCATCATACAATGTGGCTGTTACTGTGTACATTGTTCTCCTGGTTCTACTCACTTCACTCAGCGTCAGTTTATGTAAGTCTTTTCACGTTTTTCTAAAGTCTTCCTGCTCATCATTCTTATAGTACAGTAGTATTCCATTACATTCATATACCACAACTTGTTCAGTCATTCTTCAACTGACGGGCATCCCCTCAATTTCCAATTCTTGGCCCCCACAAAAAGAGCTGCTATGAATATTTTTGTACATGTAGGTCCTTTTCCCATATTTATGATATAGATCTTTTTTATACATAGTTCTTTGCATAGTCTCCCCTATTAAACTGAGTTCCTTGAGAGCGAGAACTATGTTTTTGCCTTCCTTTGTATCCTGAGCACTTAACAGAGCCTGGTAATCGGCACTGAATAAATTCTTGTTGACTGATTGCATTTTTATCTTGGAGTAAGCAGCTTCCTAGTACAGCTTCAGACCAGGAGTGGCGTCAAACTTTCTAGCAGTTTTTTCTCAACTTTGCCCACAGCTTTTTTCTTTCCCACCCACTAACAGAATATTCACCTGCCAGGTTGATCCAAATAAAGGAATGGCCTTAGCTTTCTCTCTGATTCCTTTGTTCCTGGCTTCCTTCTTTCTCCATTCAAAGGCAGAAACAAAGTAAATTACATAGCCATTGATAAGTCTTTGTGAAATTGTGATTGTCTTTTCCTACAGCTAGGAAAAAGATTTCTTAGTAGCTTTACTATCTATTCCAAGATTTCTCCTTCAACATATATTACCAACTATAAGTATTACATCCTGTGATGCCAACTCACAAATTTAGTTAGGATGTGTATTGCCTTCCAGACTGAACTCATTATGTTTTCACCCTAATCCTTCCCTTTTCCAAATTTCCCAGTTTCAATCAGAACTACCATCATCTTTCCAGTCGCTTAGGTTCATAATCTTGGTGTTATTCTGGACTCCTCTCTCTTTCTCATCCTACATATTCAGTCAGTTGCCAAATCTTGCCATTCCTACCTTCACAACATTTATGGAATCTGCACTCTTCTTTCCAGTTACCCAAATACTACTTTAGTTCAGGCTGTCATCACCTCTCCTAGGTTACCGCAACAGATTCCTAATTGGTCTTCTGACCCTCCTACAGGCTGCTGGCAGAGTCCCCTACTCATCTAACTATGGTGTCTCCTTAGTGTTTCTGGAATAAATACAAACTGTTGTTTAGTTTTTAGAGCCCTACACAGCCTGCTCATAGCCTGTCTTTCCAGCCTCACTGGACATTATTCCTCATCTTACACTCACAAACGACACTCCAGCTCTGTGTAAGTAAGGGCCCGTCTTCTGGCCATTCTGTGTGTCCTGATGCACTTCTTTCTTGCTTCCACTTAATAGCATCCCTCTCTCCCTTTATTATGCAGCTCAGGCACCATCTTCCACATGATGCCCTATCTGTCTTTCCTCCTAACTACTTTGTATTTAATTACTTTGTATGACTTTATTAATTTTATATTTGTGCTGTGTTTACATATATACATGTATGTGTTTTTAATGTACCTCTTGTCTTCTCTATTAGAATATAAGCTCCTTACATGTAAAGATTGTTTCATTCTTTGTAAGTGCATCCATCCCTACCACTTATCGCAGGGCCTGACACGTAATAGGTGGTAATAAATACTTGATTAATGGATTGATTGATATCTTTTTAAAATATATATAAAACACAAGTTTTAAAATATATTTTTAATGAATTTGTTCTTATATTGCCTGAATTTCTCTCTGGATCCCTTTCCCCCCAACGTGAAGAGCCATCCCTTATAATAAGGAAATTTTTTTTAGGAGAAAGAAAAAAATTCTGGACAACCAATAAGTATATTTTAAAAATCTGATATTATATGCAGTGTTTCACACTTGTGGCATCTCATATCTCTGCAAAAACAAAGGGTGGGAATATTTCCTCATATTTCTTCTTTGGGGTCAAACTTGTTCTTTATAACTTTATATTTGTTTTTTATTGTTTTGTGGTTGTCATTTCCATTTACATTATTATAATCATTATATAATAAGGAGAAATTTAAATTTTTTTTAGATTAACAATCCTATAACTTACTTGGTTTTATTGGTTATAGATATTCTCAGGTATTTTATAAATAGCTCAAACTTTTGACATCATGCCATAAAGTTCAATGCTTATATGCTACTTACAACTAGGACAGTCAGCATTTTTCTTACTGAGATTAATAACCTGGTTTATTTTTGTGTCTTTCTTATTTTGTTTCAGTGCCAAACCAACAGATTTTGATTTCCTAAAAGTTATTGGAAAAGGCAGTTTTGGCAAGGTAAAGTATCTCTATTTTCTTACTCTATAAATTTATTGAACAGAAACTTCAGTGAGTACCTTCTTGTGTTTGGAACCGTGTAGGAAACAAAGTTTTATAAGACAGTTTTTTCCTGCAAGACACCTACAGTTTAATAGGAAATATAAGATACATGCAAATATCACTAATATAAGGCACTATTTCACAAGGGCCATAGTTTTATAGAGATAAGAAGGAAGGAAATACTTCTAGGATTGAAGAGATACTCCTTAAAAAAGAAAAGTAATTAATACAAGCTTTAGATGGGTACATGATTTAAACATAAAGGTGATATCATAAACAAATTAGGAAAGCATGGAAGAAATTACCTGTCAGATTTGTGGATTAGGGGAAGAATGCATAACTAAACAGGAAAAAGAGAAGTTGACAGGAGGTAAAATGTACAGTTTTGATTACATAAAATTTTAAAAGTCTGTACATACAAGCAAAACCAATTCAGCTAATATTGGAAGAGAAACAGGAAATTGTGGAGGGGGAGAATCTTTGCATTAAGTTTCTCTGATAAAGGTCTCATTTTTAAGACATAGGGAACTGAAGTCAAATTTATACAAATAAGAGCCATTCCCTGGTGGACAAATGGTCAAAGAATGAAAGTGGGGAGTTTACAGAAGATGAAAGCCAAGCTATTAAAAACCATATAAAATGCCCTAAATCACCAATTATTAGAAAAATGCAAATTAAGACAGCTCTTTGGTACCACTTCACACCCATCTTTGGCAGAGTTGATAGAAAAGGAAAATGACAAATGCTAAAGGGACTGTGAGAAAACAGGTACGTTAATGCATTGTCAGTGCATTAACGGGTCCAGTTATTCTGGAAAGCAATTTGGAAATATGTCCAAAAGACTATCAAACTGTGCATACCCTTTGATCCAGCAGTGTTACTACTAGTTCTGCTCTCCTAAAGAGAGCAAAGAAAGACAGAAAGGAACCATATGAACAAAAATATTTATAGCAGTTCTTTTTATAGTGGCAAAGAATTGGAAACTGAAATGGTGTCTGTCAGGTAATGACTGAACAAGCTATAGTATATTAATATGATGGAATGTTCTTGTGCTGTAAGAAGTGGTGAAAGGGATATTTCAGAGAAATTTGGGAAGACGTATTAACTGGTGCAGAGTGAAGGGAAAGGAACCAAGAGAACAATTTATACAATAACAACAATATTGTAAGGACAAATAGCTTTGAAAGACTTGGGAATGCTGATCGACATAATGCTCACCCACAATTCCAGAGGACTCATAATAAAGTATGCTACCCACCTCAGAGAAGTGATGGACTCAGAGCACAGATACAGGCTTTGGGGCAGGGTAGATGGGGGTGCCAGAAGTATGGCCAATACAGGAATTTGTTTTGCTTAAATCTACATGGTTGTAAAAAGAGTTTTATTTTTCTTGCTTTCTCAAGCAGGGAGGGGATAGGGAAAGATGGAAAGAAGAGAATGTGGACTTGAAAATAAAATAAAATAGAATTGAATTTAGTTAAATTCAAACAAAAAGAAAATGAAAGGCATTGGAATGCTTGAATTTTCATTCAACTTGTCAGTATCAATATAAAACAAAATGTTATACATATATGTAGTATTCTGCTTAGTTGTATTTGAAATTAGATAAATGGTTCTGAGTTGCTGGCATTTAAGGAGCTTACATACTAAATCGTACTACCGACAACTATGCATATATAGTTAGACACAGTTAACTGTATTTATCTTGGGGATGTAGGTGAAATTTAAGTTGAGGAGTGACTCGAAACTAATGATCATGGGGGGGAACCATCAAAAGTTGTTAAAAGGAAAACTTTAAAAACACACAAAAATAAGAGAATTGGGTTAAAAAACATAAAATAAAAAGGTCAGTCATCATCAACTGAATATGAATAAGTAATTGTATTGATTCTAAATTTTCCTCTATAGTTCAACTTGTCCAATGAATATTCAACCTGCCTCAGCTTCTTAACCATGTATTCCTTTTGTAATGAGATACATCCTGCTTTTTGCCTTCAGTCCTATTGCATCTGCTTTCCGAAGTTTTAGTGATCTCATTGCCAAATCCAATGAAATTTTCTCTGTCTTCATTTTTCATGTCCTTTCTGACACATCTGATATTTCCATTTACTCCCTTTCTTCTTTTTTTGACTTTCATCACAAATACTGTCCTTATTTTTCCACTTTTCCTTCAATGTTTCCTTCATGGTTCTTCTGCTGATTAAAAAAAAAATAAAGAGAATATAATCTGCAAATTCTAGGTCAATGAGTCTGACTTATATTCCTGACCAAATTCTAAATGAAATGGTTAGGAAGTTGTAATCACAAAAAGTTGACTTGGTTTCATCAAGACCAGGTATGCTATGAGTAGCTAGGTGGTGCAGTAGATAAAGCACTGGACCTAGAGTCAGAAGACTCATCCTCCTGAGTTCAAATCTGACCTCAGACACTTACTAACTGTGTGACCCTGGGCAAGTCACTTAACCTGTTTGCCTCAGTTCCTCATCTGTAAAATGAACTGGAGAAAGAAATGGCAACCACTCCAGTGTCTTTGCCAAGAAAACCCTAAAATGGTGTAACAAATAGTCGGACACGACTGAACAGCAAGGTGTGCTATGTTAACGCTTATTCACTTTCTTCACAAGGTTAGTAATAAGATTTGCCTAAATTTTAGTCAAGCATTGATAAACTCATCCTATTCTTATGGAAAAGAAGGAGAGATTCAAGCTGTTAGTAAGTTAGATGGATTTAGAAGTGGTTGAAAGGCCAGGTTCAGAGTAGTTATTAATGATTTAATGTTAACTTGGAAGGAGGTCTCCATTAGAGTGCATCAGGAATATGAGGTTGGCACTGTGCTTTTTTACTATACTGGTCAAAGATTTGGATAAAGGATTAAATTTTCAGATGACACAAAACTGAATGCCCTAGAAGAGAGTCAGAACTCAAAATTATCTTTTTTTTTTTTTAAGTGAGGCAGTTGGGGTTAAGTGACTTGCCCAAGGTCACACAGCTAGTAAGTGTCAAGTGTTTGGTCTGAGGCCGGATTTGAACTCAGATCCTTCTGACTTCAGGGCTGGGGCTCTATCCACTGTGCCACCTAGCTGCCCCCAAAATTATCTTTACAGGCTAGAATACTGGACCAAATTGAATAAGATGAAAGGTAATAATGAACTACAAGTTTTTTATGACATAGCCTGGGAACATAGTCATTATTTCCAGCCTTGTTTTTATGGGGAAATGGGTTCTGAGTTCCAAATAGGCAACAAGCAGATTGGCTTTTAAAGTATTTACTTTTTTATTATGAACTTAACAAACTTTTTCATGTATAAGAACAGAAAATGAAATTGCCTATAAAACTGATTCTTTATTATTTTGGGCTTAGGCTTGTTTTCTTTTTTTCCAGCATTTGTTACCAATACTGCCCCACTTGTTTATACTGCTTTCTGAACTTCTTCTGACCCCTTCAAAATTTTTAAAATCATTGATTCCTTTTTTTCCTTTTACTATATCTCACTGTATCCCCCACTATGACAATTCTCCCTCCTCCAAAATAAAAGCCCTCCTTTGTCTAAAATAAACAAGTATAATCAAGCAAAACCAATTCACACATCGGCTGCATCTGAAAATGTTTATTTCATTCTGCACCTTTAGTCCATCACTTCTCTGCCAAGAAGTGAGAAGTGTACTTTCATCATCAGTCTCTTCGGATCATGTTTGGTCATTGCCCTGATCTTAGTCCTTATAAATGAGATCTTGAAATATTCCAGTAATGCTTATAGAGGAAGGATCACTGGTCTCTTTACCACTTATTAGCCTTATAACCTTAGTCTCTAAGAGATACAAAGACAAAACTGAAAACAGCCTTTGTCCTCAAGGAGCTCACATCAAAATCTGAAAAATAATAATAGTCGAGTTTTAGATAGCATTTAAATATCTGTATGTACATTATTTCATTTGATTTGTATAGCAACCCTGCAAGGTAAATACTCTGGGTATTATTGTCCTCTTACTGCAGAGGAGGAACTGATTCCAAAAGATCAGTTACTTGTCAAGGTCCCACAGCTGAAGAAATGTTGGAGGTTAGATTGAAATCCAGGTCACTCTTGACCCCAGGTCCAGCGTTCTTATTACCATACTCTGCTTAGCACAGTGGCTGGCACTAAATACATAGTAAGTTTTCAATAAATGCTTGTTGACTGACTGGCTTGTAGACCATATTTTATAAATGGAAGTTTATTTAGCAATAGCTTGTGAAGGTTATTCTGCAAAGATAGCATTATTTCAGTTGAAAGCCGCCCAGTTCCAAGTCAGCCCAGTTAGTATCTACTCCTGTGCCAACCTTTTTGTACTTTAATTGAACAACTTATATCAGCAGTTTGAGCCACAGTCCCCTGGACCAGTTAAATACCAAGAATGATTTCATTGCCTTTTTAGGGGAAAATATATCCTCACTTACGTGTCAGGGACCTTAGTAGATGTTGCCTGACTAGCCTGACATTTGTGGAGTAGTCATTACTCGTCACATTGAGGAAAAAAAGAGTGGTTTTGAGTAGAGGGAGTACAGAGCAGAATAGCTTCAGTCTCAGAAAGTAAGAGAGGGAAAGTCATCCAAGAGTATGTTTAACCTTTTATTTGGAGGGGGGTCAGATATCTTCATTTAACTGGAGAAAACCGGGGTTCGGTATATTTGGAAGGGTTAATGATATGATCCCAGCAGACTGGAGGCTGTTAGAGGTAAGGAACTCTATAAAGTAGAAACTCATTTCAAGCAATTGATAAGAACATTTTCTAGTAAAAGACAGTAGGGTTGGATGGGTGAAAAGAAGAAAGGAGGAGGTGAAGTGACAGAAGACTAATGAAAAGGAGCATAGTTATGATGTTGAGAGCAATGGATTATAAAGGAGGGCATGTAATTTTTGTACATTCATACTAGGGAAAAAAAATTTCTCGGGGGTAGCTAGGTGGCACAGTGGATAGAGCACCCCCCCTGGATTCAGGAAGACCTGAGTTCAAATCCAGCCTCAGACACATAACACTTACTTAGCTGTTGGACCCTGGGCAAGTCACTTAACCCCATTATCTAGACAAAAAAAAAATTAGATACCAATAAAACTATTTTACCCTTCTCAGCAATACAAGGATCTAAAACATCTCCAAAGTCCTCATGATGGAAAATGCTATCCACAAAGAAGAAAGAACTATAGAGTTTGAATGCAGATTGAAGCATACTATTTGCTATTTTTTTTGCTTCTGTTGTGTTTTGTTTCCTCTTTCTGGTGGTTCCTCCTATTGGTTCTAATTCTTACTTACAACATCACTAATGTGAAAATATGTTTAATAGGAATGTATATGTATAGCCTATATCAGATTGCGTGTGTCTTAGGGAGGGAGGTGGGGAGAGAAGGGGAGAAAAATTTAAAACTCAAAAGCTTATGGAAGTGATTGTTGATAATTCAAACTAAATTAATTTTAAGAAATTTTCTCACATAATTACCTCCCCTCTTGGCCTTTTTTTATTTTTTAAGAATAATCTCAGTTTCTTCATCTGAAATTGGGAGTTTCAATTAAATCAACTCCAAGGTTCATTTTAGTTAATGTTCTGTGGATTTTTTCTGTGTGTGTGTGATTCTAAACCATACTTACAGAAGAGGCTTTTCTGATTAATCCTTGCCATGGAGGAAGTCAGCATGGCATAGTTTCTTACCTGGAATACAAAGATCACATTTCAGTAGCATTTTAATATTTACAAGTCACGTTCCTCATTGTGAAATAGCACCAGTGGACTGAGAATTTGGAAATGTAGATTCTAGTTCTGGCCCTGCCTCAGACGGTTTTTATAAAGCAAGCCTTCTTAGGGGAGGCCTTAGAAACCATCCAGTCCAGACTATATGCAGCCATAACACTACTGTAATTGGAAAATATCTAATAATTTTTTTAAGTATTGCAGAACAGTGATAGTGTTAATGTGTGACTTTTTAAGTCACTATGTATCCCATAGGGCTCTTTATGTTAGGTGGAGTCGCCCCTGATCCTAGTCCGAACATTCTTACTTTACAGAAGAGGAAACTATAACCTGGAAAGATTGGAAGTGAGTTATCCGGCCAAGGTCATGTAGCTAGCCATAGAGACAGAATTGAGGCTACAGCTCCATTCTCTCATGCTCCAAGACCAGCACTCTCCCACTATCTAGTACTGCCTCTCCTAATTTACAACCAGATCCTTCGATGGAGCTCATCTACCTCTACTCCCCCTGCCTTCTCTCTTTCTTATACTTGTCGCTCTAAACCTTCCACTTAGCTAAGGGTTTGCAATATGCGTAAGTACTGCTATGCCACTACCTGCAGCAGGGGGCTGCTTCTGGAATAAGGTGCTTAAACCCCAAACCGAAGCTTGAAAGAAAATCCTAATTATGAAAGATATCTTTATCATTTCCCTTTCTTTGTCTTTCTCAAATACAAATCCCGACATAAAACCTAAAAGGTGCTTTTTAGGGATTTACTAAAAGAAAGAGAAATTTTAGGTATTCCAAGTTCCATTTAATTTTCTCATTTATCTTTAGTAAGTGAAGACAAGATTATTAAAAACTCATAAAAGTTTACTAAGTAGAAGAGGATCAGAACCTCATTCTTCTCATAATCTTCCCATCTAGTCTAAAGGAAAAAGGAAGGAAATCAGGCAAGTAAAATCAGAAGAAGTTTCCCTTTTCAGAACACAAGTAAGCAATTATCTCAGTCATTTTGTATCTGCTTTTTTCCAGTTAAAATTTTTCATTTATTGGTGAATGAATGGATTAATGAACAAAGCATATATTAAGCATTTAACTATATACAAAGGAGTGTATTAAGTGCTCAATTTACAAATAGAAAAATTATATAGCCCCTGCTCTCAGAGAGCTCACATTGTAATGGGGGAAACAACATATGGAAGACTTCAGCTGCATGTCAAATGAAAAAGTCCCATGAACTCCTAGGGTACAGTGGCAAAGCAGATGTTAATGCCTCCTATTTTAATGTCATTTCCACCGACAAATTAAATTATTAACAGAATGTTAAAAATTATAATTATTTCTTTATCTTGAAATGTGACAGGTTCTTCTTGCAAAAAGGAAACTAGATGGAAAATTTTATGCTGTCAAAGTGTTGCAGAAAAAAATTGTTCTGAAGAGGAAAGAGGTAAATTAAAAGACTTGTGTATTGTCATTCTCAACTAATCAAAATGTTGTTCTTAGTATATGTTACAAGTTGATTCTTTTCTGTTTTTTTCCAGCAAAAACATATTATGGCTGAACGTAACGTGCTCTTGAAAAATGTGAAGCATCCATTTTTGGTTGGATTACATTATTCATTCCAGACAACTGAAAAGCTTTATTTTGTTCTGGATTTTGTTAATGGAGGGGAAGTAAGTTTTGCATATAATCTTACTATGTATGTTAGCATTTCTAAATACTATACTAAAAATAAAAAGTCTGTTTTTCTAAATCTCATTTACAGTCTTGTTTCTAGGTTATCTTTATCAATTATTATTGAGCTTTAAAAAAAAGAGAGAAAAGTAGTTCAGAAAAGCCAAGCAACATACCATATCTAAAAAGAGAGAGAAGGAACAGGAACATTTTCTTATGTCTTCTTTCTGGGGCCAAACTTGGCCAGTATAACTTTATTGTAAAAATAATGCCAACAAATTCAGTCCTTGGAATTATAAAATATATGTGTATTACTTTCCACTTTGATCTTAGCATGAATTCTTTTTATTGACAGCTTTTCTTTCACTTACAAAGAGAACGATCCTTTCCAGAACACAGAGCCAGATTTTATGCTGCAGAAATTGCCAGTGCTTTGGGCTACTTACATTCTATAAAAATAGTATACAGGTAAATTTCATAAATGTTCCTAGTAATTAATACTCCTTTTTCCTCTAATATCTTAATTAATGTAGAGGTCTATTTTTTCTTTGGGGACAGGGACTTGAAACCAGAAAACATTCTTTTGGATTCAATAGTAAGTATGGTTTTTTTTTTTTTCTTTTTCTCATAGGTAAATTCCAAAGTTCTGTTAAAATGTATTTGTGTTTTTTTGTGTGTGCATCAT